TGCACTTGTGGCAAGTAAGCAAGCTTGAAGACTGGCAGTCTTGCTGGGTATCCAGTTACGGAAGCAACACATTAACAAGAGAATTCAGAGTAAAACCAAAGTTACTTTTCCTAGTAACTAGTTACTTTGAAAGTAATGAGTAACTTGAAGTAACTGAGTTACATTACTACTTACTTCTATCAAAAGTAACTCAGTTACTCATTTAAAGTAACTTACCCAACACTGTCAAGGACACATCTAAAACCTGCAGGACACCGGCTCTCGAGGACTGGGTTTGGACACCACTGCACTAGGTGATCAACACCAAGGCCAAAACCAAGTGTGTTTACAGAAATAATCCCTGATTTGCAGACCCTCTTACCAAACACAGTCATTTAAAATTTCTTAAATAAACTAATTTGTCTTTTAAAAATCATAATATAGTCAGCAATTAAATTTGATCTTACTTGTTCTCCACTCTGGGTTCTTTGTAAATTGAGATTTCAGCAGTAACTAGAAGATGTGAATGCAGTATTTATGTCCAATCCTTACTGCTACTGTTACTGAAACCAACCAACTGAAAAGATAACAGCCACAAGAGGCAGTACCCTCTATGGTGAAGGAAACTAGATGCCAAGATAAAGGCAGAACAAAGGACAGCCAACTAACTGCCAGAGCTGTTAAAAGATGTGATGAAGAAAGGGATGCTTAAGAAGTACAATAAGCAATCCATATCTGTGGCCTTAGAAATGAGAACAGCCCTGCCAAGGCTGGAGAAAGAGCAATACTGGAAGAGAATATGGGAGAAGGATGAAACATTGCTCAGTGGTTAGTGGATCTAAGAGCAGACCACAATAACCTCCCTGAACAAGATCTAGGGACCATCATAGTGGCAGACATCCATGAAAGAGTCTCAAGCAGGAAGACTAGACAGCGCTAGGCCTTGACATAATCATATGGATCAATATTTGTGATTTGGCTCAAATTTTGATTAAAGAGGAATGCAAGATGTTTCATTTTCTTAAGGTAAGATGTCATAACATAACCAGAAAAGACAATGTATGATTTTTAAACATTGTTACAGCTTTTTTTTTTAACATTTAAAAAATTTGCAAATGAATGAAATTGTTGTAAAATATAAATTTCACAGTGACAAACAAATGACAAATGAACTGTAGCTCAGTTATTGTCAGTTTGAATCGATATGTTTGTTAGAGTGATCGAGAGAGAGAGAGAGAGAGAGAGAGAGAGAGTATATACAATATGCAGCACTATATGAGAAACTGTCCAAAACTAACTGAATGGCTAAACTAAAAAAGCTCTTATGACACAATACATATACAGTGAAAGGTAATATAAAGCCTGGGGAAGTAATTATGCAGCCTTGTACCTCAAACAATGCATTAATGTCAGCTGATAAAATGTTCCTAACTCTAAATTGTGGTTTCAGTTACTAAAGATTAGTTGCTATCAATCAACAGACAAATGCACAAGCACACTTTTACATCCAACTGAAAAAGAAAACAAGGGCGTGGCTAACCATGACACACATGAACAGCTAAACTCGGTCTCTTTTACATTCATGTTCAAGTTCAGACAAGCCGTTCACCTAAATGTAAAGAAAGAAAGAAAGCTATCAAGTCTCCTCTTGTTACTGACATGAAGGTTACCTTTTTTAATCTTCAAATGTTTTCAAGTTTAATATGCATTTGTCAAAACTTGCAACAGTGACTATCCTCTGAGGAAGGCTGTGTTTGAATATCTTAATCTGTGGCTTTTTCTTTCACTCTGTACTATATTGACACGTCAGTGAGTAGACAGAGTGATAGGTATTAGATATTATTCAAACGGACAGTTTTTTGTTTACTGCAAAATAATGTGGAGCTGCCTTGTTACCATTTAATTTTCATGCTGCTGCACACAGGCATGTGCTTTGCATACAGTTAGAGTGCAGCTTCAGAAGGGAACCTCACAGTATAGTCAACAGCCTTAAAGCACATTTAGGAAACACTAACAATACAACAATACACTAACAATACAAACACTAACATTACACAGAAAAAGATTTATTATCAAAATCTGAATTCAATTAGTCTGTCTGAAGATATTTTACTTACACAAATTAATATCTTGAGTAAAGTAGGACAATATACGCTTATCCTCCTTTATAAAGTGAAATAAATACAGACTTTGCAGTTGTGTTTTCCAGATTTGCATTACATTCATCACTTTCTGAACCCTCATATTCAATGACCAATATCTACAATATAAATGCTTAGTAAGCAGTTAAAATATGGGACTTACAGCACATAAATGTAGCAGATAGGTAGAGAAGATCTGTGTTTGTACTACTGTACAGTTTATACTACATGATCCTCCTGATGGTCTTGGAGTGACCTCTACTGAGATTTGCATGATGAGGTTTAGACTCTGACTTACACTCAGACTGTTTGAATTTGTTATGCACGCCCAGTGAAATAAGATACATGCAGTTCATTTTCCTGTTAAACATACACCAACTGCAGACAATTGGACAAGAAAGAGTGGGCAGTTTGCTTCTTTACCTTCTAGTGGTTCTGGCATAATTTGGGTCCATTTGTTTATCTGCAGCAAAGGGGGATTGTAAATCAGCAAAATTAATTGTTGTTACAGTTCTCACAAGACTGAGGGAAAATCTTTTCTATATCTTCATGTTGCCTAATCAGTATCTAACAGACTTCTGGATACTGGATACTTTTTTCACTGTCATATATTTCCATATAATGCTTTTCTGTTCAGTGCTACAGAGGGTGTAAATTATTCCTATATTCACTGTGCAAGTACCAGGGGACAACACAAAAGGTGCCATCATATATGCAATTATGTAAACAATTCAGTCAATAGACTGCAAGTGCTTGCCATCTTTTTTATTGAGTATGAATGTCCTTTGTATGCGTTCAAAGAAGCTCTATAATTCCTTCAAACAACTGCAACAGAAAAGCCATAAAAAAGAGAAAGGGCTGATTTACCTAGCAGTTAAGGCTGTGGCTCCACTGTGCTTGCTCCTGTTACTTAGGCCATGCCCTTTGTCTGGGGCCAGGGCTTGGTCCAGATCCAAAAATTTGCATGCCAAGGGCCACTTGAATGTGAAGCTCCCCGGATTCTCACTACCTGACATGCAAAACTGGTGGAGGACCAGTTAAAATGGCACACACGCACAATCAGCACAGGTGTACTCCTGCTAAGAGTGACGCTCCAACCGCCCATCCTTTACCAGAGCTAAAACATTCACCATCCTTTCCAGAGAGTGTTATGAAAATGAGTGCTGTGATTTTACTAGGACACTCTACTTGCTGACTGTCAAAGGAGATGGTTGCACTTGTAAGAGCAGAACACTGGACATTAGCAAATTAAATCTCTTAGCACTGTGACAGGATCAGGGGGCAACGTTTAAATAAGAGAGAGGTCAGGAAATAGAAGAAAACCAAGAAGTGACAGATTTAAAGGATGCCAAGGTCTTTCCTTGTGAAAAAGAAACGTGGGCCATGTGGAGCATGGCAGTGGAAAGAATCAGAACAACATGAGTGGAAAGAAGAAAATCCACAAGGTATGAATTTCAAGTGGCTTCAAGTTTAATTTCTGCTGTCAAAATGTTAAAGCCGTAACAATTAGTCTGTATCACAGTAATTTACTTCAATGTCGAAATTTAGTCATGTAATCTACCTATCTGTCTATCTATCTAACTACATAGTGAGTGAAAATATTGAAAAACAGATATCCTGCAGTCCTGGCACCCAAGAGCCTGCCGCCATGCCTCAGCCAGTAATCCCCTCAGGACGTGATGCAACAAGAGGAATTATAGTGCCAGTACCTTTAGCAGGACTGGGAGGACCAAGAGCTGATACCAGGCCGGACTGGTCTACTGTGATGCTCCGGGGCTCCTACCATCCCAGTACAATGGCACTGGTCAGCAGAGCAAAGGTGAGAAAGGTTTTCTTGCCAAAATACAATATCACTCCTTTAATGTGAACAACTAACCCAGTGCATAGTTATTAGCATCATGTGACTGTTGGACTAGTGGTGGACTAGTAGGAGGTTAGAAATTTGGGCAAGGATTCTTAGGACATGACCTTAGGCAGGACCACAGACGACTGCTTTTGGAATATATGCATCATCAGACTCACATTTTTTGTGATGTAAGACACAGAGTTAACAGAGGTGTTTGTTGTAGCTTACAGTTCAAAAGCATGAGATGGTAGTGAATTCAATCAGCAATCAGGGAAATGATAATATCCTATATTACATTCATTGGGTAATTTTTTTCTCTTCCACTTGATATATATATATGTGGCTTTCATCACAACTTTGTATGTTTGGGGGGGGGGGGGGGGTAGATGCAGTGTGCTTGGGAAATCAGTTCAGTTCAATACAACCATAACTACATTTTTTTTTTTTGATTGATTGAGTTCATAATATACACACACAAACGCAAAGCAGGATATGAAGCATCGCCAAATGTTGTAAAGGCTCACCTTTTAGCACATTCACTTCACCAGATGCACCTTGTTTCTTTTCCTCACCTTTGATTGGGTGTGGTGCTTGGCCTTAATTGCGCTCACCTGTCACTCGTTATATAAGGACTGCACTCACCTACCCCTCACTCTTTCTTCACTCCCACATGAGGCGGCAGCTGAGAGATAGCAGTCCATGTGTGTCTTTCCTTCCTTTACCCATTATTCAATAAAATGACAAAACCTGTAAATGATTGACTGCTTATTCTCATTCTAATCGGATGAGCCCATGATGATGACTACTTAAACCCTGAACCTTCCTTCCTCCAAAACACCAAATATGTTTCCAAACCAATATCCTTCCAAGTCAAAGACTAGAAAATATGGTGAAGCATATCTTCCTTTTGGCTTCACCTACACAAGTGCCAAGGTAGGTCTACCCTGCCTTGGTTTTCCCTGCGTTGAGAGCACGCGCTGGGCTCTCCAAATCACGGACAAACAGAATCCCACATTCTTGATTTTTAGTTCACAAACACTTGTTATAATAACTAACTACTCCTGACATTTTGGAGATGTTAGTTCTTTATACAGTAAAGTTACAGTGAGATACAAATAACATCAGGCTGATCCTGCCACAATTTGTTCCCCTTGTCCAAACTACAGACAAATAGTATCCCACAGTTGTTTATGTTTTTGAACCCATTTTGCACAGAGAGGCATTTTTTGAAAAATTTATTAATAGCAATGTTGAATATTACACAGGAAAAAAACAACTACACGTAAAATAATTACACTGTGACGCCTCTGCCTTTCTAAATGGAGGGACAGTAACTATGTGTGTATATGCAAGCGTGTAAAACCTGAAGATGGTAAGATTAACAGTATTTTGTCTCTATCCGCCATTCTGCAATTCATCTCATGTAAACAATAATGTGTCACACAGCGTGACGTGAAAAAAGGCACATGGTGGGGGGCGCGAACATTTTTCTTGTAAAACAAAGGGGGCCTAGCAAAAAAAGTTAGGAAACCACTGTGTTAGAGGGTTTTTGAGCATGAACCACCTTATTAAGGTCATGCCACAGAATCTCAGGTCAGGAACCTAAGGGGGCTTCAGCTTGAGGTCATGAACAGATGACCAGACATTCTCCGTCAGGATGTTTTGGTAGACAGCAGAATTCATTTTTCCATATATATAGGCAACAGTGGTAATCGGAGTGGTGACCCTCAAACTGGGCAAGTGGCTCCAGCAGATTCAAGGAAGGACATTTGAGTTCCCTGTCCAATCATGCAAATAGATAAGATACTGTGCAGGATCCTGAAGCTCTCAGGCCTCTGGTAGAGGGCTTTCAGGTCATTTTAGATGTGCTCATTATTTGACCTACAATGTGGAATGCTCCAAGTTTATGTAACACATCTGATACATTTTCCATTTAACTAAAAAACAACCATTTATTTCAAGTTCTTTAAATTAGTTATTAAGATTAAAAATCATATTTTTCATACAACTGTAGGACTTACCTGGACTTACCTACTGTAGCAGTAGGTAAGTCCAGAAATATACACATAGCCAGATATGTTTGAGAGGGACAGAACTACTTTACATGTGAGAAAAATACTGCCCTATGAGGTCATAACCACTAAAAAAGGGGGAAAGAAACTCAAACACAGGACCCTTTTGAACTTCCCATTTATTTTGTTAACGGAAAATCTGTTAAGCATTTGTGACAATTAACTCATTCACTGCCAGCCATTTTCAAATCAGGTAACTCCCCACTGCCAGGGTTTTTGAGCATTTTTACTCATTTTTGAAGAGCCACAGAAAACTGTGTGTTATGATCATATAAACGCTGAACCTACCAAAATGAAGAACAGACTCTCTTCTTTCATCCAAAAAAAAAAAAAGCTTGTTTCTACCATTTTCCATTCTTTAGTAATCAGCTGTAGAAGAGAGGTGGGTTCCACCAAAAATGCCTGCTTTGACCAAAAAAAGGGAGAAAACGAGCTTTTTGTGAAAAATACATTTCAAGCAGAAAAGTGCCTTTGACACTAATATTTCTTGCTTTGTGACACCTCTAACATATAAAATAGTTTTTCACTTCTATAAAACAGTAATAACACTGAGAAAGGTTATGTTTTATCAAAACAATTTATTTATAAATATATGAAAAAATAAAATGTACATAGTGAAACATTTATTCACAATGAATAATTCACTTTTGTGTGGTAAACACTACCTAAATCGCACTACTGCCACTTGCAGGTCGATTTTGTCATTACATACCATGAATGCAAGTCTGATATTCACTGACAAGCTGCCCGAGGTTGTATTCTAGCCCCTCCCATTGAAAAACGTAATTGACGTCCAAAGACGTCAATGGCAGTGAATGAGTTAATAGAACAGCTGACTTTGTGATTTTTACTAGAGCTATTCTCAGTACACCCTAACTACTGAACACGGACACATGGCTGGCAATTTCATTTGCTTTCATAGATGCTCATACTGTGAACATAATCTATCAAGAAAAAGGTGCCATATTATGCAAATTAAATTGTAAAACTATCCATTTCTTATTCACTGGTCTTCTGTGCAATCAAGTTTGAGTTCAGTAGACTGACATTTGTACTCCCTTTAGTGGCCAAGAAATTCATTATTCATATAGGTCTGTTGATTGCATTGTACATATCTGCTTTTGAACTGCTGTGGAAAGGATAAAAATAAAATTCTTGATGCATTCTTGATAATATTATTAAACTTTTAAGGCTAATACTATACAGTGAGATTAATTTAGCTCTATTTAAGAAAATATATCTATTTTTTTAAAAAAACTGCTTTTTTATGCCATGCTTGCTGAAAGATGGAAAAAGCTAGGGGTGATGCACTAGACTAATTATTGGGGCTGCAATATTTTATCTGCACAGATAAAATGTGTATATATAGGATCAATTCAAGAACTCCGTACCCACTCGTTATGATTTAATGGCTTATAAAGGAACTATTTGCATGGAAGGTGTACTGGTGTCTTGGTACACTGTACCATGTATTAGCAATTTGTAATCCTGTTTGTTACTTGTAAGCTAAACAGAGCAGAGAAAAGATGATTGTTACAGTGAAGTTTTGTCATATTTATTCAGTAGTTCTCTTCCCATCAGCCACGTCCCCGTACTTCCCCTGTCTCAGGTGACTTTGTTTGCTCAGTGTGCCACAAGATCTTCCCTCTACAACGCATGTTAACCCGCCACTTGAAGTGCCACAGCTTGGTGAAGAGGCATCCTTGTCGGTTCTGTGGCAAAGGATTCAATGACACCTTCGACCTAAAGAGACATATGCGAACACACACAGGTTAGGAATGTTCTACATGTATTTTGTTGAATCCACTAATCTTTATCAAATTAAAAGAATCACAATCAATTTTATTACAAGGGAGTACATTTTATTATATATGTTATTGATAATATAATTAAGGGATTAATGGGTTTGCTGTGTATCATTAGTTGCACTTGATTGAAATGTAGGTTCTTAGTCATCCAGTTCATGGTAATCTAAGAAGCTTGGAAAGAAAAGTGACTGGACATCTTCAAGATTTTTAAAGACCGTTCACCTCTCATCCATTTAAATTAGCTGTGTTGGTTCAAGGACACATCTAAAACCTGCAGGACACTGGCCCTTGAGGCCTGGAGTTCCCCACCCCTGCGCTAGGGTTTAAATACCTGGGAGTCTCCATCATTTGGTTTTAAACCTAAAGAAGCTTTGTGGATGACAGATGAAACGTCTTAAAAAAAACTTTAAGAAGTCCAGTCACTTTCTTTCCAAGCTTTTTACAATTGGTTGAAATCTGCAAGAATTACTTTGTGGGATTTACAGTAACTTTAAAGTGATTGGCATTAACGGAAATCAACAACAAAAAATGGAAATAAATGGAAAATCTGCTTTCAGTCATTACATGAGCTCTCTGACAATGTCAGCCTTGGTGGAAAGCTTAAAGGAGAAACTGTCTTTTGTCTCTCACTGCTACAGGTATCCGTCCCTACAAGTGTGAGCTGTGTGAGAAAGCTTTCACACAGCGTTGCTCTCTGGAGTCTCATATGAGAAAGATTCATGGTGTACATCAGCAGTATGCTTACCGCCAGAGACGCTCCAAGATCTTTGTATGTGAGGATTGTGGTTATACATCAAGCCGGCCTGATGAGTACTTCCTCCATGTGAGACAATGCCACCCTGGCAGCCCTGCTCTCCGCAGGTACTACCGTCGTCAGGCTCATGAGAACAGCACCTTTCCATCAGAAGATCGTAAACTCAGTCCCTATTTGCTCTACCCAGCCTCTGCATACTACATGTAGGTTTTATTCTAATGCTACATTATTTCATAGATCTTACAAAACTATTCAGAAGTAAGTATTCCCTTGTGTAATATGTAGGCCATGTGTGTCAGTATACTTGCGCTAATACCCTTTTGTGCTTATTTACTTTTTTGCTTTTAGCAAATGCTTTTAATCAAAACCTTAAAATAAAAATGAAGGTTTGTACATTATTCTTAATGTTTTTAATCTATCTGTAATCTACTAAGCCTGACCTGTTAAGTTAGCAGTAATAATAAAGAAATTCCAAATGTTTGCTCGGAAAAAATAAATACTTTTCATTAACAGTTAGGTAGGTACGTTATGTTGTGTTTTCTTTCAGTTATTAGAAAAGCAGCCTTGCAAAACTGATTTTATTGTCATTTATATTTTTGTAATAGGAAGAACCACTGAACTTATATATATTTTGGAAATAAAACTAAATTTACCCTTACCTTAAGGTGGTGCAAAGTTCTTTTTACTACTACTACTTGGATAAATCTAATATGCACCTGTGCTTGTGGGTTGTTTTCTGCTGTCCCTTATCCTGCACTTCTCTATAGTTGATGCTACCAGCAGTGAGGACTTTGCTGTATCTATTTTTACTTTATTTTTTTCTCTCTGTGAAAAGAACGGTAGGCATGGGGCTGGTTGCTTTAAAACCTTGGTAGAACCTCAAAATCCCATCCTTTCGTGAACCTCGGGACCAAAAATGGTCCCGCCCCAAAAGTGCTCTAAAAATGTTATATATCAATATTTTTTTCTACTTTAAATTAGTCAATCTTTTAAAACTACTTCTGCTTAAAATATCCATGTCAAGTTTTAATTATATTTTCATTGTTTTAACCCTTTAAATCCCAGTTTTATTACATGAGCGCCCTGTTTTTTTAGCCCCAAAAAACAAAAAAACTAAATATTTTCCAAAAAAAACATTTGAAGTAATATTTGTTTGTTATTATAATTAGGCCTTTAGATGGACTAAAGATTGGCACCAACAGTCATTTCGATCGCCTTTTATTTTTTTTCCAGGAGCGCATTTCATAAAATGCACACTATCGACCACGCCCAAAAAGTGCTATAAAAAATTTATATATTAATATTTTATTCCACTTTAAATTAGCCAATCTTTTAGACCTACTTCTCCTTGAAATATTCATGTCAAGTTTTAATTACATTTCGCGGATTTTAACCCTTTATATCCCGGTTTCGTCACATGAGCGCACTGCTTTTTTTGCCCCAAAAACATAAAACATAAAACATAAAATATTTTCCAAAAAAAACATTTGAAGTAATATTTTATTGTTATTATAATTAGGCCTTTAGATGGACAAAAGATTGCCACCAACATTAATTTCGATCCGTTTTTAATTTTTTTTGCAGAAGCCGAAAATGTCCCCAGGCGGCGCTGCTGCTCCTGCTCCCCGGGCAGGGGTGCCTCTGCCGCGGGTGTGTTTCGCGCAGCGCCGGAGCATATGGTTCGGTTCCCGTGTCTGCAGCACACACTTCCGCTACCACGTGAAAACAAATACGTCATTTCCTGTTGATTAAAAAAAAAAAAAAAAATCAAACGAACCTAAGGGCAGAAAATGGTCCGGAACGAGCAGCGGGCCAAGCTGCTGCTGCACGCGGGAAATTAGTCTGCCTTTTCCGGGTATGTCTCTCGAGCAGGCCGCTGGAGAAGGTGTGTATGTTCCAGCAGGCGTCACATGTGGAACAATGGCGCCACCCGGTGGCCAAATAAAAAAATTACAAGTTTAAGGCCCGGACTCTAAAATGGCACCATAACTGAGACAATCACACTAACCGTTGTAAAAATAATGGTGGTATGAAAAATAGCGTTTATAATGGGTTTCAATGGGCAGATAATCGGTATATATCAACGAAGGTTAGGATTGGGTAGGCAATATGTATGTCTTTCTCAAGTATTCGACCATATTAAAGCTCAAATTTAAAAACTCAGTCTGAGAATGATTAAACGAATAGATATGAGTGCAAACTAAAAATAACATGTTTGAAAATTCCTTGCTACAATAACTAAACATTCACCACAATACAGTTGGAAATGGCGTGGAATTACCAAATTCGCTAAAGGCGCGAATCAATATGCGTCGCGCCCAGGGTCTCTATCCAACGGGTTTATAGAGTTGACTCTTGTTGAGTTATCCACTTCGCATTTGATGTAATGAAAAGATAATGATCGTTGGTTAAGATGGTCAGCATTACTAATGAAAAGTAAAGAACAGGTTGCTGTCAGTGCTGGTGCACAACAGCCCTTCAAGCTGGCACATAGCCTATATAATTATATAAAATTATCCATCCATTCACTTCCACTTATCCTTTTTAGGGCCGTGGGGGGCGCTGGAGCCTATCCCAGCTGTCTTAGGGCAAGAGGCAGGGTACACCCTGGACAGGTTGCCAGTCTGTCACAGAGCTAACATATAAACAGGAGACAACCAGTCGCACTCACATTCACTACCACATTCACACCTGTGGGCAATTTAGTGTTTCCAATTACACACTAGCTGCATGTCTTTGGAGTGTGGGAGTACCTGGGAGAAGCCACCCAAACACAGTGAGAACATCCAAACTCCACACAGAAAGACCCTGGCCTGATGGGGGAATTGAACTCAGGCTGTGAGGCAACAGTGCTAATTACCGTGCCACCATGCTGCCCCTATATCACATTATATTTAAAACATTATATATATACCCATCAGCCCACACGTGTGTCAGTCCATCAGGCATCGGGCACCCAGTATGCCAGATTACTAATTTAGTAATCTAGATCTAGGGAATTAGTGAGAAATAAGTGTGTGTGTGTGTGTGTGTGTGTGTGTGTGTATAATTCCCCACTCACCCCTTCAGATGGTCTCTTATCCTTCATGCATTTGTCCTCTACCAGAGGCCTTGGAGCTTGAGGGGCCTGTGCAGTAACTTTATTTCTCCTGGGCGGGGGGCTCTGTTACCTTCACCCTCCATATCTTCTCTAGCTTCTCTCTCAGCTCTTGAATTTTCTTGAGTTTCTGATGTTTCTTCTTCCTGATGTTGCTATCACTTGCTAATGTTACATCTAGCTGACTTCCTCTGCTTGCCCAACACTACTATTCCAGTAGTTTGGCCATCGCTAGTTTGTCTGGAAGCCCCACTGGATCTTAGCTCGGTCATTCTCAGTGTATCCTTTGACCCTTTGACTTCCAGGCCATACTCAGCCTCCATGCGTTCCATGCATGCCCTAATTGTTTCTGTATACTATGCTGGCCACAAGGTTATGGCGTTCCATGCATGCCCTGCGTGCTAGCATCTTGCACCCTGCTGTTATGTGCTGGATCGTCTCAGAGCTATATTTGCAGTCTGCACCTGGGGTCTTGCCTGGTATGAAAGAGCCCAGCTTCTATGGATCTTGTGCTTAGAGCTTGTTTCTGTGCTTCCAGCTTAGTACCTCTGTGTTGTCTTTCCGTCCAGCTTTATCCAGCAATTTGTAGTATTTTTCAATATCAGCCACTTCCATTATCTGACAGTAGTAAATGCCATGGTGCGGCATAGGTGTTGACTGCCTGGATCATGTTCTTCCTATTCAGATGACTCCACAGGACTTGAGTGGGAAAAGTGTAATTCACTGAGGCACACTAACATATTCTGTGGTAAGGTACAATGCTACATTGTACCTTACAGCTCCCTCGGTGAACACACATGGACATAAGCATTAAACCTGATCAACCTAACCCTAACCCAGAAGAAGTATATGGCTGAACTGGTTATAACTGGTTTGTCTGCACTAAGCCAAGTTTGTGACCACCCTCTTGTGGCCAGGCCTGCAAATGACACGTCCTGCTACGTCTTCAGAACAGTTAGTAAAAAACAATACTGACTTTCACCACAAACATCACCATCATTTGGCAGAAACACACTTTATCAGGTGTGATGGCATGCCACACATGGTAAGCTCCACACCTCACCACCCGTTGATTCACTTTAGTTTAATTTACAGTCACTACTTTAAAATATTCTA